AATATTGCCTCTTTGCATTTAGTGCAATATAACATGATCTTATGCATTCTTTTTTCCTATAGTTTATCCTGCCACATTTAATTTCCATAATCTTGATGTCATTTCCTGAAAATACTTCATACAGATTTTCCCTGCGACAAGTGGGCAACAGCCTTTTGCCTCATACCAAAGCCAAGTACATTTGTATGTTTGAGGCTGAGAAAAACAGTATATAGTAATTAAAGCCCATACAGTTTTCTGTGCAACATAAACCATGGCAGCCCCTAAATTTTAACTGTGATCTTTAGATCATGATTATGGTCTTTTGATTTATTCTGTGTGTAACTCCTCCTATGTTTTAAAAAAATACATCCATCGTACAATATACTGATGCAGTTGTTCATCACGAGATGGAAATTTTGAATCTCCTGCACAGCCTTTCTCTGCACTAATAAGGTGATTGACAGCAACAGTAGACTTTCAGCTGAGTCAACAGTATTGGATGAGGTATAATTCACCAGTGAGTTTCAGGTATTTGTTGAGATGCTGGAAATGCATGTTTTTCTATTCAGAGCTTTGTGGGGAATATATTTTAGAGGATACAGAAACTGCTACCGGTGTGTTTTCTGTGCCTTCAGTGTGCTTTGTCCCTACCTCTCCGTTTCTGATCTTAATTCTCTGTCCAGGCTCGTGTGCCCCTCCTCCATGTCCCCCCCAGCTCCAACTTTTTCTCAAGCAGGTCCTTCCAATCCAAGTTGTCTTACCAAGGTAGCTGCCTTCTTTCAGACAAGCTCCCCAAATCCTAGTTTCTGCTCCATTCTCCCTTGACAAGTCCCGTTTCTCATCATACAGTCAGTCAGTCCTTGTCTTCAGTCTTTTTCCTTTTGCTCTATCTCAGCTTGTTTGCTTCCGCTCTCATTGTGCCTGCACAGAAGGTTTCCCAGTTTTCTTGTGCTGTCAGTGACAGTATTTTTTTTTCCCTTCCCTCAACCTCCATCTATTTCCAATCTCATCACACTCCTTTTCCTAGTTCCCAGTCCTAGTATTTTTCCTCTTTGTATTTTAATCAGTTTTGTTTCCTTTTTGGCTTAGATGCCATTAAGGTGGGGTCACTGGGTAGGCGCACAGTAGAGATGAGCTGTCTTCTCTCTGAAGCCTGCTTTCTTACTTGCTTGGGACCATTTGAGAACAGTAAGTTTGTGGAAACTTCGTGTTGGCTCACATAACCTTGACTTGGAAGGAATGACTTGACTTTCTTTTCAGTAGGCAACTCATCAGAAGTAGGATCATTAGAAGTTTCAGACAGACAACTTTTTTTCATGCATACTCCAGAGCCATGCTTCATGTTTTATTGTATAAAAGTTAGTGTTCTTCTTAAATGCATAGCTCTCTTTTATTTAATGAAAGTCTGTCTGCAAGGTTTTTTTAATGATGGGCCTGAAGGGGAACTGATATACTGAGAAGGATAGTTACTTAAATTTATTTATTTATTTTTAAATGTACATTGATCAAGTTTTTAAATTAGCAGGCATTGCTGTGTCTTATAAAATTGGGAGCTATGAACAAAAAGAGCAGGATTAGTAATACAGCATTTGGCATCAACTGTTGTGTGTCCTGCCTCCTTGGATGCTTGATTTCTCATCCTTAATGCTGCAGTAATACTGGATTTGTAATTTAAATTGCTTACAATTTGTGTACGTATTTCAAAAGTTTTCTCTCTAAAAATCAATTTTAAGTTGGTCCGATGATCTAGATACCAAGTTTCTTAAGCATACAAGTATTAGCGGAATTCCAGTGTACATCTGAGAATTATTTCTTGCAGTAGGATAATAGCTTTCATGTCATAGTTATGTCAGTGATAGTGAATATCTGTGTGGGATCAGATATTAGTAACATTGTTCAGACCTTGTATTTTTCATCATGAGAATGACATAGGAATAATGAAATTGTAGGTCTTGATTTTAATACTGATTCATCCTCTGTCTTCCTCCCCAATAAATTCTATTATAGTGAATAATGAAGTAATTTAGGTGATAATTTTTATTGATGTATATTTAAAAAAAAATAAAAGAGTAGCACATCAGACTAATCACATTAAGTCCCCTGCAAACTGTTATTTAAGATGTAAATTGTATTTGTGACTTACTGTTTAATTATTTCAACTTGCAATGTGCTTTTCCCTTTCAATTGAAAAATAGATCAGGGTTTCCAAGGACAGTTTGGTAAAATGAACCCTCCTTCTGTCCCTTGGGACCATGGGACCCCTACCCATTTTCCTCTCCTCCGAGGAGCGTGGCCTTACAATATGCCTCAGAACTACATGCAGCAGGGAAATGCCAGCTATCCACCGAACAAACCTTTCTACCCTCAAGGTACTAGAACTAGTATATGAATCAACAGCTCATGCAACGTGTCTCTTTACTGTCTCAAAGGCTTTAAAAGCCAAGGAATCATGTTTCACTTGCTAGGCTCCCTGGAACCATAATGAATCCAAGAGTCAAATCAACGCTTCGGCTTCCTGTATGGATGGATGAAAATCTTTGTGGGAGGGAAGGGGTTAAATCAAATTCTGAAATCTGAGCCAATTTGCAGTCTGTTGCACTTCTAGCCTCTTTCTCCTTCACTGCTGCTGTCTCACTGTAGAGCCACGTCTGCTGCAATAGAGGTTAAGATGATTTGCTCACGAGCGTGTTAAGAATATGAAGAAATTTTTGTCCTAATTCATTTTACTTGGCTTTTGTACCATGCCTTGTGGAATGACTTACATAGATAAAAACTTGCAAGACCATAGAATAATTCAGGTTGGAAGGGGCCTCTGGAGGTTACCTAGTCCAACCTGTCTGCAGTCAAAGGAGCACTAACTTCAAAGTTAGATCAGGTTCGGTTATTCAGGATACTTTGAAGGACTGACTTTATCTCAGCTCTTTCTGATGCTAGTGAATGGTAAAGGTGTTCAGCATCTGGCAGGACTGGGAAAGGCTGTAGGAAAAAGACCTTTGGCTCCACTAAGAGAAGCTATGCCCAAATTTTACTTGGAGGCTTTGCAATTAACATGTTGCTGGGTCACCTAGTATAAAATGAGAGATACTGGCACCAAATCCTTTTTTCAAGATCTAATCGATTGGCTGTAACAAGGTTTCCAAGTGAGACCCATATTTAAAAATCCTGAAATTATTTTTGTTAAATAACTAAAGTAATGCAACAAAATGATGTATTGATGATTCTGAGGGAATTTTGGAGATAGGATTAAAGTAATACTGCATTGTCCCATTAAATGGGTTAATTGTACAGATAGCATTTGTGTCAGTCTAGTAAATGACTTTATTTCTAAGATTAATACATTGAATATAGCCAAGCACTGTTAGATACATATAATTTGCTGAAGTAATTGTAATCCATTTTCTTTTAGCTGGTCCACTGATGCAGAGTAACCAGCGATTCTCGCTTCTGTCTCAAGGACACCCACACTTGAATCTGAATTACATTCAACAGAAAAAGTGAAATTTCATGGGATTGTGGGTGGGTGGGGGGAGGGGAGGAAAAAAATTCAGGTTCTGATTTAAAATCTTAATGCAACGTGTTTAGATACAAGATTATTTAAGACTGTTTTTAAACTGTATCATTTGTACATAGATATGAACTATAGTTTTTACTAGTATCACAAAACTGAGTGATACAAATTTCATCTATTTTATTACCCTATTTTTAAGGGGAATTGTGTTTTGTTTTATCTTGATAAACTGTAAAGAGAGAGAATTTTTAAAATTAAGTTCTTTATTTTCTATTAGCTGTATTCATACTTTGGTTGCTTCAGACTTTATATATATTGTTCTAAAAAAATAAAATTAGAAGGGGATTTCATGTGTTTAAAAATTTGTCACTTCTATTCTTTACAGAACTATGTAGTGCCAAAAAACTTTTTAAAAGAAAAATAAAACTGCAAAAAAAGGACATAAGACTTTTTCCTCTTCCCTATTTGTATGCATGCTTGCATTTAACTGTAATTAGGAAACCAGAATAATAAAAATGGCTTTAATTTAGGTATCTGAAAGAAGAGATGAAAGATAAGCAGCTATAACGAGTCATACAATCAGTATATCTGTTTTCCCCCATGCTGGTGTGATTGCCATGTGTCTTTCTCGTAAAATACTTGATTTGAGGGAAGAGTACACCTGCTTTTTGGTTTATAAACTTTGCAAAATAATATGAAAGTACTCTAGAAAAATCAGGCTGTACTATGAAGTAATTTTAAAGAGGACTTTCCATAAATTCACTTGCCATACTACTTTTTGTGTTGTCAGCAGTCATTAGGCAATATGTGAAAATATTTAAGCTATAAATGCAGTGTTCAGGAGGTAAATCTGTCAGTCCCTGCTCCTGAAGCAAGACTATGAATAAAGGGATGGTACACAAGGGGGTTTAACACAACCGATTTCCTGTGATATATAATTAAATGTACTAAGATGAGAACTCTAAGTTGAGTAAGAGCTTAATTATTCATTTGAAAAACAGGGACTTGCTGAATGCTGACTTCATTCGGAGAAGGTAGAGCTGAGCACAATTGTGTCATATTCTGTCCCCAGTCACAGGTGGGCCACAAACTATGCTCAAAGTAGTGGTTTACTGTCTTTAAATATACTGAATAACTTCTTGCCTGAAAAGAATTAAGTGAACCTACTTGAAGCTTCTAAACTGTCTGATAGTAGCATCAGAAGAAGCATATTATTAGACTTAAGGAGGATTCTTACAAAGGAACCAGTAACAGCTGTGTGTTGGAGAGTTATTTTAAGTTAGCTCTTCCTTTTAGTAAACACACTGGATTATGACAGTCTTACTTCCTTTCCTGTACTGGAGGTTTGAGATAGTTCAGGCTGGTCAGTGTTTGTAACTTGAATATATTCTCACTTTGGCAACTGAATGCAGTGGCTGTTTGTCAGAACAACACCCTGATTTGAGAATGATGCCAGCTTCAACTAGGAGACATCTAAACAAAGTTATTATGAAAGAAACAGCAAGGAGCCTTTAAAGACACACCACCACCCCCTTTTTTAATTGCTCTTCACTAGCTTTTACAGGCCTTGAGAAAAACAATTTTAAAACAATCCTCAAATTCTATCACACGGATGGGTAATTAACTACATAAAAAGTATCCTTAGCTTTCTTTTAATAAAAAACCCCCGAACAAACAAGACTTGTACAAGAGGAGAAGGATTAAAGAAATGGACTGCTAAAGCAGCCAGTACATGTCCAGCTGTCCCATAAAGCAAATAGGACAGTATTAGACTGCAGTTCAAGGTCCTTAAACTGTGTGCTGGATTTAGTTTGTTATTCATTCCCTCGCCGACTCTTCTTGTGACTTTTCTTAGATCTGAAACAGAAAAAAAAAAGCCGTATGACACAGTACTAGTAATTGTTTCGAAAGACCAAGGTGATTCATAGCAGTAAGTGGTGTTTTCTGTAGTTGAATATGGATAGTGTGACTTGACTACAACACTGAAGGAGGTACTGTATGAAATATTTCATCTCCAACATTGTAAGATGACCTTCAGTCCCCAAGATTAAATGACAAGTAAGAGCTCCTACAGCAGTATAGAGACCCTTAGGAAATAGGCCGAGCCTTTACCTTTCAGGTGATTTGGAATGACTTCTGTGTCTGTGACTACGATGATGCCCTATGAGATAGAAAGGTAACAGTTACTTCCATAGACCCTGGAATTCTTGTTTGTTTTGCTAATGCAATCCACTTCTAGTGACCAAGTGTCCTAGATAATGCCAGAACAACCCTAGCCTTAATTAGGCACTCAAATTAACCTCCTGGCAAATATTTGAAAAACATACTCAAGGCAATTTTGCATGTATTAAAGGAGTTCTCCAGGTATGCTTTCATATAACTAGTAGTTTTATGAGCCAGATTAAGCACCTATACTACCTTCTTCATACGGAGACACAGACTTTTCTTGCAGTGGATGGTTCTGCTGATTAACTCTGGCAAGTCTTTTGTCTGTAAATGGAAAAAAAAAAAATACCTGGAGATTTAGATCTTGATCTGTGGCGCCTCTCCCTGGATCTGCTCCGGTGTCGTCTTGGGCTTTTGCTGCGGTGTCTCTCCCGGCGTGGTGACGGACTGAGAGAAAGGAAGCTTTTAAGATAGCCATACTAAAAATGCACACATTCTAAGATTAAATAATATAATAAAAGACTACCTTCTTCTCTTTGGAGAGCGGCTTCGCCTGTAATTTGGGGAGAAAAAAAAGAGTTGCTAAAAATCATTAGCAGAACCAGCTGTTCAATTTCCCATATTCTCCAGCAACAGCACCAGGGCTTCCTTTGCACTCCCCCGTGTCCCCAGTTAGTGTGTGTTTGGCCTGCTGCACAAGAGGCAGTACATGCTTCCGGACTGGCCCATACAGTGAGCAAATGAGGTTAACAATGAGTTTTTCCTAGCTTAGTTAAGAACAATTAACAGGATTTTCTCTGCAGCCTCTGGCTTACATGGAAACAAAGCGCTTGGTTCTCCTTATATCTTTGCTGTAGTGTGAAATTTAGCCAAAGTTGGCCAGCAGGTTCAAGAGTTACTGAAGGACTAGAGAAACAGGCAGATGAGTTGACTGTGGCTATGGACTCCAACTCCTTACTTTAGGAAGTGGCTAAAGGAATTGGGAGGTGTAAGAGATTCTGGCTGAATTGTCATCTTCACTTCTATGCTTTGCTCCAGCCATCTGCACTACAATAGGAAAAAATACTGCTCAAGAAGAGCCATGTCACCTTCTTGGAGACCTGCTTCGGCTCCGCCTGTATCGCACAGCTGGAGATCTGCGAGGTTTATCAAGGTCTCTGTAGCCTCTTCTGCGGTGGTCAGGAGAGGGTGCTCGTTCCAGCTGGAAACAATGGTGGGGAAGGTTCTGTAAGTCTTGTTTCATCAAGCTTTTTATCTATCAGTAAAGATTTCTGAACAATATACGTGACAAAAGTAATGCAATCAAGCTTCCCCATCCTCAAGTATTTCATATTCAGAAGTGAGTGGTACTGCCCAAGTTTGCCAACTGGAAATTAAAATGGCCACCTCTCACACTGTTGATTCTTAAGAAGTACAGCAGAATTGACTATGATGGTCACCATAACTTTCATCATCACCTTTAGTTCTCTCCATTACATATGTATGTAAAACAATTTATCTGAAATATGTTTAACACAGAACAGATCCAGATTTGTGAATTTCAGGAGACAGAAAAGCTTGACAAACACAGAGCACTTGAGAACTGCTTCAGGGTCTAACAAGTTCTCGCAAGCAGCTTATATGAAAATACGTTAAGGGGGAGATAAGAGTTGCAAGCAGCCTCCCCTCAAATATTTCTCATAGGCCATGAAGTGTTCTGTTGTGGTTCAGCACCAACTTTAACTATTCCCTTCCAAAATAGTTCACCAACCTTTTCGTCTTCCTCTTCCTCCTCCTCACTAGATTCTACATCATCCATGTCTTCTTCCAGAGCACTAACACGAGGCTCGAGTTGCTCAGCTTCTTCCAGAACATACCGTTTCTAGAAAAATTACAACTTTAACTTAGATAATAACCCAAGTAAGAAGAACAAACACCTAAGGAGGCATCTTGTGTGCCAGAAGGGCCTGTATCATAGCTTTATGCAACAAGCCAGTAGCTGATACAACTATTGAGTCTGATGCAGTTAAGAATTCCATAGCCATCTACTTTTCCAAACCTGTAATCGAGGCAGAATGATATCGCATACACGTTCCTCGTGGAGTAGTTCATCAATAAATTCATCCACATGCATCAGTTCAAATTCTGGTGGGGAAAAAATAGCATTTAAAAGACAAAGAAGATTAACACTAATGGCTAGAGTAAAGATGAAACACTTCAGACAATTTATGTCAAGTGGGCTGTACAAACAACAGTTCTAAAATCATTCTCAAAGATGAGGAAAATCATTAGGCCTATCTTGCAAAAAGGAAATTACTGCACAGCTAGGATTAGCAGATTCACAGAGCTTAAACCAGCACTCAAATGGTGTTTCTTTGGTATTTATGGAACTGCATCTCAGTGCCAGTCAGAAAACACAAGCACTCGGGGAAAGCAAAATAAGCAGGGTAGTTCTCATTTGTACCAGTCAGCAAGACTAGCAACAAACGATCCAAAGGTTGAATAAGCAAAAGTAAGGCTTCAAGAAGATGGTTATGCCACAATTTTTTAAGCTTATATTACTAAATAGAATATTTACTTTTATCTAGCGTGATATGCTTTTTTAACAAAAGGTCATCTATGAGGTACTAAGAAACCACAACTGAGTAAGAGTGCTTACCCCCATTTCTGTTCTGACTTTTTATTTTTCGATAGTCATTGTACAGTGGTTCAAGATACTTGTAGCAGTCAATGGCAGTGCCTGTCAATCTCATGTACAATGCACCAAGCATTCGGACATACCTGAAAAGTAAACCATTTCATGTATCTGAGCTTTTTGCGTAGTTAGCAGTTTAGACAGGAGTTTCTCCCATAAGTTTCTAAGGAAAATCAGTACACTAAACAGAACATACGACCGTGTAGATTGTCTCCTTCAAGTGCTCAAGTATATATATAGATATATGTATAAAAAAATATATATACACTTAAGGATACATACATAATCTCTGTATGGGTGCATTATCACTCACAAAGGCAAAAGAAATATTGAAGAAAAAGTAGATTAATATGGCTCCCTTAATGCACCTCGTTCTAAATACTTCAGGCGGAGGTGTGTTATCACAGAGAGCACATGCCACAAAGGCAAGCCATTCCAACAGTCCGGGTGACAAGGAGAGCAGTCCTGAAAGCAAGAGGAAGGACGTGCTTCTTAGCAAGGAGAGTTTATCAGGGCCCGCTAAAAGCTAAACCCTGAACCCTGCTCTGAGGTTTCCCTGGCTGTTTTGGACAGTTTCATTCAGCACAACAACCAAAAGAGGGAAACATCAAGCTACCAACTTACTTGAAGTCCTCGTTTTTTATGAACTCCACGATGATGTCCTTTTCGGGCTGGATCTGCAGCATCTTCAGCGTCAAGCACAAGAAGGGCGTAGGCTTAATGTTCCCACCGTAGACGCCCCCCACGTACTTCAGCTCCATGGCCTTGTCCACCACCAGCTCGGCTAGGAGAGGGACGGGCCGTCAGCCCAGGCTCCTCATCGAGCACCCCGCCGAGCCCCCTCCCGGCCAAGCCCCACCCCGCCCCGCCCCGCCATACCCGTCAGG